ATAAAAACTAATACAAAAATAATAATAATAACAATAACGATAATTACATTTAAAAAATAAAATATTATAATTTTTTTAACACTTTAAAATTGGAATGTATTGTATTATATTTATTTATGGCATTTTTATTGTTGAATAATTATACTTCTTTTAATGTAAATAATGTAAATGACATCTAATGACACACAAATCCAACTTGCATTAAGATCCTACACACACACACACACACACACACATACACACACACACACACGCACACACACAAAATAAAAAAAAAAAAATGTATGATTAATTATTTGAAAACATTTGTTTGTTTATTATAATTTGTTGTTATGTGTTATTATTATCATGTTATTAAATGTATGATGATGATGATGATGATGATAATAATTATAATAATAATAATACGATTTGAAAAATTCAATTATAAAAAAGTATATGTGTTGCATAAGTATTGCAAACTAATTGGTTTATTATTATTATTATTATATTATATTATTATTATATTGTATTTTATTGTTAATATTATTAGTATAATTATAATATTTAAAAATAATAGTGATGATGATGATAATAGTAATAATAATAACAACTAAAAATAAATACTGCAAACTAATTATTATTATTATTATTATTATTATTATTATTATTATTATTATTGTTGCATTAAAACATTACAGTAGTTGTAATGTGTGTTTTTGTTTATAATTTTCTTGTTTGTTTGTTTTTTACAACAAAAAAAACTATCTGTGAGCAAGTGCCTTTTGCGGTCTGTAATGTAAGTGCACTCAACATAAATGTAATTCCTCCGCCTGCTGATACAGAGCCACCAGCTGAGACTTCAAATTAGTCCACTTTGTATCTGTAATATCCATGTGTAGAATTACAGTCAAGCACATATTACGCTAAGCAGTGGGTGTTTATTTAATCATTGCTTGAACATACAGCCCAGGGCCTGCTCAAGGGAAAAGCTCAGTCTGCGCTGTGACATTCCTTGAGTGTTTTGTCTGGAGCATGACGTTGAATTCCCCACAGTGCGAATAAAGCTGGAGACCTCCCACTCACACACTCTTCTGCCAGCTAAATATTCCATATGCTCGCTTATAGGCCAGACATCTAGTGCATCATCTTTAGCTGGAGATCTGCATGTCTGGGGTTTTAATATGAATTATTAGCCCTCCTGTATAAGATGTTTTCAACACATTTCTAAACATAATAGTTTTAATAACTCATCTCTAATAACTGATTTCTTTTATTTTTGTCATGATGACAGCACATAATATTTGACTAGATATTCTTCAAGATGCTAGTATTCAGCTTAAAGTGACATTTAAAGGCTTAACTAGGTTATTTTGGTTATCTAGGCAGGATTAAGTGATTAGGCAAGTTAATTTTTAACAGTGGTTTGTTCAATAGACAATCCAAAACAAATATTGATTAAGGGGGTAATAATATTGAGCTTAAAATTGTCTTTTAAAAATTAAAAACTGCTTTCATTCTCACCGAAATAAGACAAATAAGACTTTCTCCAGAAGAAAAAATATTATAGGAAATACTGTGAAAAAATCCTTGCTTTATTAAACATAATTTTGTAAATATTAAAAAAATAATAATAATTCACAGGAGGGCGAATAGTTTTGACTTCAACTGTACTTAGTAGTCAACATTTGAAGTGGATCAACACACTTCATCGAAGTTGCCCTAAAAATCTAAATTTGTATCAAACAAAACCCGTGTTATTTTAAAATAACATACAATATTAAAATGTATATAATTTATTAATAATTATATAATTCGGAAAGTAAGAATGGTACCTAAAATCATGACTGATAAAGTTCATGTATTTATAAATCTTACTCATTTTCCTTCGGCTTAATCCCTTTATTCATCAGAGGTCGCCACAGTGGAATGAATCACCAACTTATCTGTGTTATGCCGTGGATGCCCTTCCAGCTGCAACCCAGTATTGGGAAAAACCTAAACACATTCACACACACACACACACACACACACACACACACACACACACACACACACGCGCACACACACACGCGCACACACACACACACACACACACTCTACGGCCAATTTAGTTAGTTTATTTCTGTATTGACCTTATTCTAAAATGCGGAAGTGCGCCTGTTTTCGCGATTGTTTTAGAACTTCCGATTCAGTCGCCTATGGGAGAAATGACTAGGAATAATACACGGCAAAAACTGTCAAACTACTTGCTCTACAAGCAAATGTTTGCATGACTATATAGACCAAGTAGAATAAAATAATAAGCAAATATCAGTTTACAACATCAAACAGCGAAAATAGCAGTTTTTAGTGTCTAAAAATGAATAGAAGTAAATGAGACCAGAAGTCTCGAGCCAAAAAGATTCAGATGGCTGCGCCCGCTCGTCAGGGAAGAATTAGGTAAATAGCGCATGTGTTTGGACCCGGAGGAAACCCACGCCAACACGAGGAGAGCATGCAAACTCCACACAGAAATGCACACTGGTCCAGCCAGGACTCGAAACATTGACCTTCTTGCTGCGAGGCAATTTTGCTTCCCACTATTTAAAATAATTATAGTAATTCAGCAATTGAATAACTAAGAATTGGAATTATGTGAATGTGAAAACATGTGTCCCAAACAAACAAATAAATAAATAAATAAATAAATAAATAAATAGTCATTTTGTATAATCATACTAGTAAATATAGTCATAAATAGTAAATAAAGTCATTTTAGATTAAATACTATGAGACTTTAGAGTTTTCTTTTCCTAACCAAACTGACACTGACACCTCCATTAGAGATTTATTGAGATGATAGAAGCCGAAAAAGTTGCTGACATTAGTTTTTATGTTTAGCCGATATACAGTCTCCCTGTTTATTTTTTTCCCTTAATTTCTGTTTAACGGAGAGAAAATTTTTTTCAACACATTTCTAAACATAATAGTGTTAAAAACTCATCTCTAATAACTGATTTAGTTTTTCTTTGCTATGATGACAGTAAATAATATTTGAGAATATTTGACTAGATATTTTTCAAGACACTTCTATACAGCTTAAAGTGACATTTAAAGGCTTAACTTTAGGTTAACTAGGCAAGTTAGGGTAATCAGGCAAGTCATTGTATAGTGGTGTTTTGTTCTGTAGACTATCAAAAAATATATAGCTTAAAGGGGATAATACTTTTGACCCTAAAATAGTGTTTAAAAAATGTATAACTGCTTTTATTCTAGCTGAAATAAAACAAATAAGAGTTTCTCCAGAAGAAAAAATATGATCAGACATCCTGTGAACATTTCCTGAATCTGATAAACATCATCTGGGGAAAAAAACTAAAAAGAATAAAAGATTCAAAGGGGGCTAATAATTCTGACAACTGTATGCTGTATATGTTGGTGGTGACCCCTGATAAATAAGTGTCTTAGCCGAAGGAAATGAATGAATGAATTATACAAATATTTTGGATCAAATTCAAATGCTGCTGACTGTATATGAAATTGAAAGTGAAAATGACATTAAATTACTCTCTAAATCACACTCTTTTAGGATTTTTGATAGTTTCAGAACTAGGGTTGTAACGGTATGAATTTTTTACGGTATGATAATCGTCTAAAACAATACCACGGTTTGACGGTTTCGCGGTATACGGTATGTTACAAATGTTACAAAATAATAGAACAGTGAAGCAAATTTGACTTTTTCCAAATAATATATTTTTAGTTACTATAAACAACACCACTTACAATGAACAAATAAAAAAATAAGAAAATAATAAATAATGTGTCAAAGTCCAAATAAAGTCCAAATAAACATGGTGCAAATCCTCAGTAAAAAATAGATATAAATATTTACTATACTATAAATAGTTACATAACGAAACTAGATTCAATATGGAACATCCTTAGGTTTTATGTGCCAGCATGGATATGGTTGTCTGTGGATATGGATTTGGATATGGTTGTCTGCAATGCAGATAAACAGCTGCATCTTCATTTGCGTCTTTTGAAAACAGCAAGAGCAGCAGTTCGTCTTTGCTGTGTCACTGTTTTGTCATGTTTCTGTGCTGCTGTGCATGCAAAAGTAATTAGTATGAGAATTATTTCATGCAAAACTTTTTTTTTTTGCGTTTTATTTAGCCGCGCATAAATGTATGCCTATCTCTCATTCCGTGTTGTTCAAAAAGCTCTTTGTTGGTCCACAAACAAAAGCGAAACCTATGCTTATTGGTTGTGATATAGCGAGTTTGAACCAATCTGGGCATGGAGGAGGGACAATGCATCAATGTATCATGTCTGGTTTGTCCGGAGACACAGTGACGAGCGTTTCTTTGTCAAATCAGCGTTGTCAAATTTTGATGACGTAAACGCACTGATTCCGGAGCCTCTGAAAGTCCACGAATGTTATGTGATACAGCAAAGCTGAGAAAGCTGAGAAAGCTGGAAAGCTGAGATTCTCTTCTTTATGCCAATCTTTGAATTGTATGAATCGGATCAGCGGATCAAAAGTTATTAAACATTTAAGAGCAATACTTATTTTTAGCCGCGGGCGGCTGTCTCGGTCTTTAAGGGTTAAAACCGTTGATATGCAATTGTTCATGGTATGATAATCGTGCACGTTCAAATCGTGGTAAACCGTCATACCGGTATATTGTTACAACCCTATTCAGAACTAAGTAGACACTAGTATATTACTAATCTGAAAAGACCCTGTATTGCACGCTTGCTTTATTCCTCAACTCCTCAACAGGTTTCCTGTCTGCCCGCCGGAGGATTCTCCAATTCTCAGCTCTGAGAAGTAATAAGAACATAAAATGTGATTTGCCTTTGTGTGCTGATAACCGCCGCCTCGTCTCAGAGACTGGGAGGTGTTATTGAAAGTCTGTTGTCTGCCTTATTACATCAGACTTCCATTTCTCTGTAATTCTGTGTAACTCGCCGATGATTGTTCTTTCCCTTTATCTCATTTTCCCTCTCTTTTTGTCATCCGTTCCTCACAGGTAACGCTCGCCGGCACCTTCATCGGGATCGGGAGGAAAACCCAAGACTGTCAAGGAAACACAAAGTACTTCCGCTGCAAGTTCTGCAACTTCACCTACATGGGGAGCTCTTCAGTGGATCTGGAGCAGCATTTCCTGGCCACACATCCTAATAAGATGAAAAGTCCACCTGCGTCCAACTCAAACCTGGACGAGAAGTCTTCGAGTGAGCGCAAAGGGAACTGTGTACCTCGCATTGGTGCGGATGAGCACGGAAAGTGGGCCGATCGGGTGGCAGTGAGATCTGAAGATGACTCTGTGGCTGGATACTCTGTGCCAATCAGATCGTCTGATTCTCCAAGCCACACTGTAGGAGGAGACAGCCCTTCTGCCTATTACTGGTGCAAATACTGCAGCTTTAGTTGTGAAGCCTCTGGTGCATCAAAACTCCTGGAGCACTATGAGAAGCGACACGGTCACGGTGTCGTCCGGGAGGGAAGTCCAGGAGATCGGAAGACGCGAGATGGAGATGCTCATTTACGAAAGAAAGAGAAGACAAGCGAACAGGAAACTGTTGTAACCAGTTACAACTGCCAGTTTTGTGACTTCCGGTACTCCATGACACACGGACCGGAGGTTATCATCGTGGCTCCGCTTTTGCATCACTACCAGCGGGCTCACAGCATTCATAAATGCACCATTAAACATTGCCCGTTCTGCCCGCGTGGGCTGTGCACACCTGAGAAGCACCTGGGCGAGATCTCCTATCCCTTCGCCTGCCGGAAAAGCTCCTGTTCGCATTGTGCTCTGCTTCTGCTGACGGGTGGAGGAAACGCGGCTCCGTCTCCGCCCGCGGCTCGAGCCTCCGTCACTCATCTGTGCGACCAGTGCTCGTTCACCGCCACTGATATTGACCTGCTGCTCTTGCACTACGACAGCGCACACACCTCGCACAGCCTGCTGGAGGTCAAGCCGGAGGAGGAGGGGTCGGGGGATGGAGGGGCGGGGCCTGGACAGGACCATCCCGGAGAATACGCCTGCACCAAGTGCCATTTCTGTACTGAAGTGGAGGAGGAGATCTTTCGTCACTACAGGTAACTACAGGCACATTACTGTCCCTATTGGCCGAGTTAATGTATATTCATCTTGAACATGGTTTAGTTGAAGTGCTTATCAATGCACATTACTATATTTTCTCTCTATCTATCTATCTATCTATCTATCTATCTATCTATCTATCTATCTATCTATCTATCTATCTATCTATCTATCTATCTATCTATCTATCTATCTATCTATCTATCTATCTATCTATCTATCTATCTATCTATCCATCCATCCATCCATCCATCCATCCATCCATCCATCCATCCATCCATCCATCCATCCATCCATCCATCCATCCATCCATCCATCCATCCATCCATCCATCCATCCATCCATCCATCCATCCATCCATCCATCCATCCATCCATCCATCCATCCATCCATCCATCCCAATCCACCCCATCCATTCCAATGCAATCTATCCAATCCATTCCATTCCAATCTATCCATTTCAATCTAATCCACCCTTCATACAGATCCAATCCATCCATCCATCCATCCATCCATCTATCCAATTCATTCCATTCCATTTTATTCCAATCCAATCAATCCATCCATCCATTCCAATCCTATCCAATGCAATCCATCCATCCCAATCTAATCCCTTCCATCCATCCATCCATCCATCCATCCATCCATCCATCCATCCATCCCATTCAATCCTATCCATTCATCTATCCATCCCATGCAATCCAATCCATCTGTTCATCCAAATCCCATCCATCCATCCATCCATCCATCCATCCATCCATCCATCCATCCATCCATCCATCCATCCATCCATCCATCCATCCATCCATCCATCCATCCATCCATCCATCCATCCCATTTCTTTATTTTCAGTTTAACTGTGTAAAAGATTTGCAGTTGCATAGTACCGTTACATAAGTTATAGATTTATGCTCTATATCAGTATGGAACTCCTTCAAATTTTTTGTTTTCAGTTTTGGGTTTCTTTTGGGAATGCACCCGTCACCGTATCCTGAAATATTGCCCCTCCAGCGCTCTGGGCCTGGTTGAATTGCTTTAGTATTTTCTTATCGCTGTCTCTTTACAGATATAATGTACAGATTCATGTGTACAGCGATTTCTTCCTCATATGTCCACATTTACCAGCATTATTGAACTTTGTTGTGTTTCTGATAGTTGATGAAAACTACATTCATATATGACAGTTAGATATCTGTCCACATGCTTATTGTCACTCAGTAAAACATTTATCTGGAGTTTAAACTGACAACTCTTCAAGTCATTAGCATATGTAAACTAGCTGTTAAGTGTTGCAGTAGCAAATTTGACTAAATAAGACTAAAGCTGATGATATAAATCTGTGTTTAGCATTGCAATTCATCATATTTTCTCATTTATATGATTAACATAAACATCAGTGGACCTTTAAAAAATTATGCCTCCTTACTTGAAATGTTTTAATAGCATTTAATTCGTTTTTTTGAAAGATCATTGGACAGAGACAGCAGTCAGTGAAATATTCATCAAGGCAAGCTTGTGATTGCAAACATTTTTTCCCATGTGTTGGCAGTTTTGTGTGAATACAGTATATATTCATTCATTAATTAATTTTGCTTCAGCTTAGTCTCTTATTTATCAGGGGTCGCCACAGAAGAATGAACCACCGACTATTCCAGCATGTGTTTACACTACATTAATACACTACGGACAATTTAGTTTATCCAATGCACGTACAGCGCATGTGTTTGGACGAGAGAAACCGGAGCACCCGGAGGAAACCCACGCCAACACGGGGAGAACATGCAAACTCCACACAGAAATGCCAACTGACCCAGCTGGGACTCAAACCAGCAACGTTCTTGCTGTGAGGTGACTGTGCCAACCACTGAGCCACCGTGCCACCTAATAGTACAGTACACATATATATATATATATAAAATATTATTATAGGCCAATATTTAGTTACAAATTTTATATGTTGACAATTTAATACTCTAAACATATCTTTATTATATTTTTCTAGCATCAGACAGTGAAAGCATTTGATTTTTCCAGCAAGCTTCTTATTCGTTTCTTTCTGTGTTGGCGGTTTTGCATTTATACTGATAGGTAACAGGTTTTTCTTTTTCTTTTTTCTCTCTCTTTACTTAAAGTCGAGCAGCGCAGCTGAATAAACTGAAAATGTTAAACGTAGGGGAGGAACTTTTCCTACAGCAGTCCCTCAATGCTTTTGATTTAGCTTGTCTTGAGGCCAGGTGTGTACTTTTTAGTTTGTTTATTAGTGTGTGTGTGTGTGTGTGTGTGTGTGTGTGTGTGTGCGGGAAACTATTATACCTCTCCATATTCTTTCTTTCTTTCAGCAGCTGTGTGGTATGTACAGCTCGGATGAGTATGGCTCTGCTTTACCTTCACATAAGATCTCAATTACTCTCCATTTTCTGCCAGAGTTTACAGGCATGTCTACATGTGCTGGTTTGAATTTATTGATAAAAATGAGTTTACTGCACCACTGAAATCCATATGTCCGTTTGAGTTTGGCGCGGTAGAAAGAGAACAGAAAGGCACTTTGCTAAATCTAATATAAGTGTTGTGTAAATACACCAAACCACCTCAATGCAGCATGTGTTTGATATTACAGCGTATTGTGGCATATTATGCGCTGGAACTTCTTCTGAACAGTTTTACTCTTTACACACTAGGCCAACAGCGAAAACTGCTTTATTTTTAGGGACTTAAATATAAAATAAAGATGTGGTTAATACTTTATGAATTTAAAATATTTAAACTTGTGATAAAAAATCTATATCAGTTCAATTTTAATTAATTATTCGTAAGATTCTGGTACCAGTTTAGCTGAATGGTTATGCCTATATGTTTAGTGCTGTTAAAACGAATTTATACTGTAATGTATACTGCTTAATCTTGGCCAGGACGCTCTTGTAAAAGAGATTTTAAATCTCAATGTGTCTTTCCTGGTAAAATAAAGCTTATAATAATAATAATAATAATAATAATAAAAATACTACTACTACTTCTACTAATAATAAAAATAATAATAATAATAATAGTAATAATTTTATTATTAGCAATAACAATAATAATAATAATAATAATAATAATATTAATATTAATAAAAATAACAACAACAACAACAACAACAACAACAATAATAATAATAATAATAATTATAATAATAATAATAACAATAACAGTAATAATAATATTATTATCAATAATAATAATAATAATAATAATAATAATAATAATAATAATAATAACAATAACAGTAATAATAATATTATTATCAATAATAATAATAATAATAATAATAATAATAATAATAATAACAATAACAGTAATCATAATATTGTTATCAATAAAAATAATAATAATAATAATAATAATAATAATATCCAAATTTTAAAATGGCAATGTTCATTCATTCATTTGTTTTGCTTATGCTTAGTCTCTGATTATCAGTTGAATGAACCACCAAATAATCCAGTAAATGTACAGTATACAGTAAAAAAGTACAGTTTTCTACATATTCTCATAATATAGTGATTCCTACTGCATTCGCTTCTGTGAACTTTGTGAGTGTGATGAAAATATTTATTTCAATATTTAATTCACACATTAAAACATGAATGCACATTTTGAATAAGAATTGATTTCTAATCTGTTTACAATTATTTGCTACTTGCATTATTATTATTATCAATGATCAATAAGAAAATCTGTCATAATGGATGTAATAGTGAATAAAAGTTCAATAATGATTGTATTTCTGTAGTTTTCCATCAATTATATGGAGTATTCGACTTATTCTTAGTGGTGTCTCCTGCATTTGCTACAGTGAAATGCAAGTGTGTGGGTCCTGAAAATCAATTCATTTCAATATTTAATTCATACATTAATACATTAATGCACAATATATAAGAATAAGAATTGCTTTTTGAGCCCTTTATGATTAATTCTACATGCACACACACAGTATGACATATAAGTTACACACTACAAGACAGACACAATTTTCCAACTTTCTTCAATAGATTGCACAGGTTCACCTGTTGTCAAATGATCATTGTGCTAATCAGCCATAATAGATGTAATAGTGAATAATAATTTAATATTGAATATATTTCTATATCGTTCTCTCATGTTTTCTGCATATTCTCATATAGTTTAGTAAAATTACTGCTCAGTTATTAATTAAAATAATAATAGCACATAATAATAATAAAAAACAGTGGTCCATTTCTCTGTGAACTTAAAAAATAAGTGAATAAAGTTTTTGGCATTTAAACAGAAGTAATCATTTTTACGCTCAAAACAATGACAGAACAACGAATGAATGACTGAATAAATAAATAAATTAAATATAAAAATAAATAAATTAATTAATAAATAAATAGTATTTCTCTAATGTAAATTTAAGCTAACTGAAACTGAACCTCCATCTGAAAGGCTCTTTTGATCAACTATATTACAAAATTGTTTGATATTTTTAATTACATTTTTTTTGGAGTAGAAATGTGTTTATTCCATAAAAGTATTAAGCTGACCGGTCAGTTTTTGTCTCGTAGTGCGCTCGCCTGATTCTTTCAATTAGGTGCGCCTGGAAAGCTTGAGCGAGTTGATGCCAATATGCGCACGCAAGCATTGAGCACTCAAAAAGATGGGATATGTGAACGGCCCTTAGTTAATAACCTCAACCATAGTTAAAATCAGCCTTTAATCCAATGTGTGTGGGTATTCACCTTGGTGTACAAGTTCGCAACTTTAAGCTAGCGCATAGTTGGCATTACTTGTAGTTGCAGAGTTGGGAATCCCTTCGAATTAATTAACCAAGACGAATGAAAGCGCAGGGGTGGCATGGTGGCGCAGTGGGTGCCGCTGTCACCTCACATTAATAAGGTCGCTGTGTCGAGCCTTTGCTGGCTCAGTTGCTGTTTCTGTGTGAAGTTTGCATGTTCTCCCAGTGTTGGTTTAGGTTTCCCCTGGGTGCTCCGGTTTC